AGGAGGAATGACCAGAATTAAAGGCTGTGCTGTCGCAAAATAAAACTATGAAATGGTACTAAAAGGTTTTAAAAATAAATAAATGGGGAGTTTGCTATACAAATACTATTTACTGTATCACTATGAGCTTTTGTTGACTTGCGTTCAGATATCATTTTAATTGGAAGGCAGCAGATTTTAAAAATTAGAGGCAGCTCTGTGAGCTCTAGCAGCCTAAGAGTTGCTGTTCTGTGCCCATTTTGCGGGGTTTATACTTTCTTTAATCACAAATTTACAGGTCCAGGGTCATGCCACAGCTTCTGGTGTAAACCAGCCTCTGAAGACTCCTTTGTCAGTAAAATCCATGGATGTGGTAATGATATACCTGAATGTGACCTTTTGAGCACTGGGCTCTCATTAAAGCGCTTTCCAGACCATGTAGGTCCTGCATCAGCCGTGAGCTCTCTCAACTTTTATGGCAGCATCACCACCTCTGATGTATCCAGTCTCTAGTGTCTCCCTATAATGCAGATATACTGATAAGGCGATATCTCTAATTCTTCACAGTAAGCTCTGCATTGGGTGTTTTCCAGACCTGTGTATGTGTGTACTGGTCAGTTAGTCTCAGATTGGTACCCAAATTGTAAACCTGTGGTACATCTTTTGGTGTAACCCCGTTTTCGGTATTTTCCTATGAAAAGTTTACCTCAGAAACTAGAGAACACTTTCTAGTATGTTACCTTTGAACGCTGTGCTCCTCACTGTGCAGTCTCCTAGGCCTGTCTATTGTGAGCCAAATTGGTGCTCTCATCTCATTTGGAGCAGAGGTATCTCCAGTATACCCAGTCTCTGATAATAATTTGCATGGTGTGATCCAAATTTAATGTCTCATTCCGACATTCAACTCCGCCGTATCGTCTCCTTGTACTGTGGCTGTTAACACCAGAGTGCTGTTTCATGACACAGTTCTATATATTCAAATCCCTGAACTTTGACTTTTATTACTAGATATTTGTTATGGTTAACATATTTTCATGCGTGACACTTACAGAATACATAACTGGATACTGCTTCACCACTTGAGGTGCTGGGCCTTTTTCTCCATAATCTCTGAGTTCCTGATCCTGGTGCCCACGATAGGTCTACTAGGCCTCATATTTCTACCTCAGAATTTGTGTCCATCTGTGCACAATTAATGGCACATTCAGCTAGCAGGCCTTCGGCCCACACTCATGCTACATCTTTTGTGGAACCTAGTTCTGACCTTGTTGGCCCATCAACTCCTAAGCGAAACTTTCTTAGGGAAGATGGGAAACTGGGCCTAATGGCTTAAACATGAAATGCAATCTTCAGGTCTTTTTATGACTCAAAATGTGCTCCAACAATTCAATCATAGCGTTTTTGTTTTCTATCTACTGTTCCTACTTACCATCTTTAGAAAAAAATGTTTGTAAAATTCTTGTCAATCTTCTAAAGAAGTAAGAAATAAGGTCCACTTGGTGTGACATATCCCTTAATTTTGTCCTGTTGCCTGTGTCAGTTTCTCTGGGGTGTGTGCATTAGCTAATTAGGTAGAGATGAGATATCCAGGAGATAGGTGGTTGTTAAAATATTTAAATGAAATGGCCAAGAAAGAAAGAAACTTGGTGTATATAGAGTTTGTATGATATTATTAAAACACTGCTGGGGAAGCTAAGAAGGGGTTAACTTTAGTGAGAAGTAGTGCTAGTCACAGCCGCTATCTAGTTTTGTCTTGTGTCCCCTGATGAAGAGGCAAAACGCACTAATATGACATTCTGGAAGTCCTGCCCAAACGCTGTATGGAAAACGCCGCTGCTGAGGTGATGCGTGGTGAAGGGACCACTACCAGGGCTTTTTTATCTGTGGAAACAGACACATAACCTGCCGGAGGCAACTTATGCTGACCTTGCTGCCAGCACCCAACGGATTCCACTGTCGGATAAACGAAGGGACAGCTGGCGCACATATATAATATAATATATATATTGTGACAGGGTACACGATTCTGTGTATGTCAGCGAGAGGTTGAAAAGGGCAGCTTTCTTGGTGGACTGTCCTATTAGTCCTTCATTTTACTGTTTTGGGACAATATCCTTCTGAAAAGTGTTCTGTTCCGGTTTGTGGTTCTGTCTTCCACATTATTGCATCTTCCAGTAGAACTTACCCTCCCTACAGATGTCTGATGCTTTTGGACGTCCCAGTTGTATATGATTTTCTGCTGTTCCTTTGTTCCTCAATGGACCATAGAGAAAATATGTTTTTGTACTTACCATCAAATCTTTTTTTTTTTTGAGTCGATTGAGGGATGCAGTTCCTGCCCCTCTCATGGTGGCCTTATATCATGCTTGCTTGCAAAATTGAGGCAAGGCTTAACCTCTTCTGTTTTGTCCAGACCTACTAAAGGCAGCAGTATAATCCAGATTTCATGGTAAGTACAACAATCTTATTTGATTCTATTCAAATGAGTAATAGTAAATACCAGCATGCCCAAGCATTTGTGTTCATGGTGTGGAAAAGGAGGGGGGCATGCAGACACCTCCTAGAACCAGCTCACCTTGGGAGAAACAGTAGGAAAGGGTTTTCTAGACTGTTTAGAGATTATCTGCTGAGAAACCTTGCCCAGTGATCTATCTGCAGGTAGCCACAGACATTGGATTTTTACATAAACAATCCAATAGTTGTTAAGCCAACAGCTGTATTAATAGACAGAAAGACTCTGAAGGCCGTAACTAATCACTGTTGGTTAGAATAGTTCTTTCTACTCCATTGGATTGTAAAGCTGAATAATGTGTGGTGGGCCAGTTCCAAAAGGTCTGCATTCAAGATGGAATCATAGAGGAATGCAAAAGATTTTTATAAACCATGATTGGCATTATTTTCTAGGCTTGGACGCGATTGGAGAAAGCTGAACATGAGAGAGAGGTCTCCCTGCGCAATGAGCTTATCCGTCAAGAGAAGCTGGAGCTGTTGTCTCAGAGATTTGATCAGAAGGCTGCCATGAGAGAGGCATGGCTTAGTGAGAACCAGCGTCTTGTGTCCCAGGTAGGCATATGTTAGTGAGAACCCATATCTTGTGTCTCAGGTAGGCACGGGTTAGTGAGAACCCATATCCTATATCCCAATTAGATGTGGGTTAGCGAGAACCAGCGTCTTGTGTCCCAGGTAGGCATATGTTAGTGAGAACCCATATCTTGTGTCTCAGGTAGGCATGGGTTAGTGAGAACTCATGTCCTATATCCCAGTTAGATGTGGGTTAGAGAGAACCAGCGTCTTGTGTCCCAGGTAGGCATATGTTAGTGAGAACCCATATCTTATATCCCAGATAGGCGTGGGTTAGAGAGAATCAGTGTCTTATGTCCCAGTTAGATGTGCATTAGAGAGAACCAGCGTCTTGTGTCCCAGGTAGGCATGGGTTAGTGAGAACTCATATCCTATATCCCAGTTAGATGTGCGTTAGAGAGAACCAGCGTCTTGTGTCCCAGGTAGGCATGGGTTAGTGAGAACCCATATCTTATATCCCAGATAGATGTGGGTTAGAAAGAACCAGTGTCTTATATACCAGGTAGTGAAAAGCAGCTTCATATGTCCCTTATAGTGTGTTTTATTCTTGACTGTTCCTCACAAGAAGACTAGAGTGACTGAACCTTGTCTTCATGGTTGACTATCTCTCATTAGGATAACTTCGGGTATGATCTGTCTGCAGTGGAGGCTGCCATGAAGAAACACGAGGCCATTGAGGCAGATATTTCCTCCTATGAGGAGCGGATCCAAGTGGTGGCAGACCTGGCCCAGGAGATGGAGTCAGAGGGATATTATGATATCTGTAGAATTGCGGCTCAGAAGGACAATATCCTGAGACAGTGGAACCTACTTAAAGACCTGCTGAGTTCCCGAAGAAAGAGGCTGGAGCGTAACCTGGCACTGCAGAACATATTTCAAGAGATGGTGTACATGATCGACTGGATGGATGAGATGCAGGTAACTCCTAAGTGCTGGCTGTGCTTGCGAAATGAGCATTCAATAGGGATTTCTAGATTAGTTTGAAGGCCAGGGAGGGTGGACGTATTTGTTTTTTACTAAAAGTGACTTGTCCTTCAAAGTTGTATTTGCGGGCTTTCTTACAGGAAGCAATGTCTCCAGATATGATTTATTAGAATATTTATACCAGTTACAATAAACTGGCAATCTGAGACAAAGAAAGTAAATCTAAATATGGGGAACTATAAATCTTTCATGAGTAAACCTGCACAAATATGATGATTTAGGATCTCTATGTACTCCTAACCATGACATTTTCTTTTTAAGGCAAAGTGGAAAAGACAGTGGATCATGGTATCATTCACTAACTTGTCCAAGTAAACTAAAATGTGATTGGACTTTGTGTTTAACCACTTTGTGCATCATTATTGCTCCTTAACAAAGCATGTTGGTATTTCACAGGTTCCGTTGGGATCTAAAGATTTTGGAAAGCATCTGTTGGAAGTAGAAGACTTACTGCAAAAACACAGCTTGCTAGAGGCTGACATCGCTGCTCAGACTGAAAGAGTCCACTCCCTAAACCAGGCAGCACTAAAATTCACAGAATTTTCAGGTAAATACAGCAAGAGAACATCATAACCCAATTATGTGCGACTAATGTATACAGTACATACAGAGAGCACATAGAGAGAGACATGCTGGACAAGAGCAGGCACCACAACATTAGGCCTAAGCTCACCAAACATGCTACATTCTAAATGTACAATTTCCTTTAGATCTACCAATAAGAATGTAGTACAAGGGCCTGCTTGATTGGATACAGATTGTTATGATAGATTGGATAGATCCTCATATTAGATAATTTTGGTAGGTCTAAAGTTGATTGCACAGAGATGGTATGATCAGATTTGAACGTGTGTGGTGAGTCTGAGGATATACTAAGGGCTTAGCATCCTTGATTTTTTTAAACTAAGCCCTGCCCACCATGTCACCCTCTGTCCAGTGAGAGGGTATTTAATAGCTGATAAGGTTGCTTTCATTGGACAGGGGGATGGTAGATGAGCAAGGCTTAGCCCTGAAGCCCTGGAGGGGTTAATAAATGTACTAGCATTTCTTTAAAGACATTTTATGTTTTTAATAATTTAAATTTTATGATGGGAGTGAGCAAAACGACACTGTGGAGAAATTATCTGAACAGTTTTCATTGACTGTTACACTTCTAAACTGACCACATGAATGGCTGCTGGGATACATAATGAGTAATCCCAGGTCAGACAGATCTTCATACTATATAGCTGATGATTTGTTAGTCTTATGCCATAACCTGTGAGTGGTACCTCACCAAATCTATCGGCCCATGATTTTACTAACAAAAACGGAACTTTACACTCAAAAATCAAATTTTACCAATGCATCCCTCTATGCACGATGATTAATAATAACATAGACATGTCAGGTGTAAAATGATGTGATTATGACATACTTACACTTGCAGAACATTCACTTCCTGCTTTGAAAGGTGCAAATAGCTTTAGTTTGCCAATGCAATGCACACTGGGATTGCCTTGTCATCAGCAGAGCATTGCTTGGAAATCTCATCTGTAATCTCAGGGGATTGCAAGGAAAGACATTTTCCTCCCCTGAGATGATGTGCATGGTCACATGTCCTGGTCACATGTGCCAGAAATCCAGGAAGTAAATGGAGATCTAATAATCTGCCCTTAGTAAACATGGCCACTGTCAGAATACTGGGGAAGAAAAGAGAAATAAGGAATGCAAAGAATACACAGCCTGCAATGATCTAGAATTATGTGTTTGTAGATTGTCACTACTAAACATTTCTAAAGGTGTGTTGGGTTATTTGAAAGATCTGGGTAAAGGTCCGCTTTAAGCCAAATCATTTGAGTTGGAGAAATTTACTGTGTAAACCAATATCAGAATTGTGATTCAATACCACACAGATTACCAGCCCTGTGACCCTCAGATCATCTGCAACCGAGTTGAACACGTCAAGAGCTGTCTGGAGGGTCTTCGTCATCTGGCAGAGAAACGCAGAGGAGAGTTGGAAGAATCCAAGCGTCTCTGGTGTTTCCTGCAGGAGGTAGAGGAGACTGAGGGTTGGATTCGAGAGAAAGAACATATTCTGTCAACTCCACAAAACTATGGGAAGGATTTGAGCAGCGTCTTACGTCTTTTAAGCAAGCATAAGATGTTGGTGGGGGAACTTGGAGGGAGGCACGCCATGCTACAGCAGACCCTTCAAAGGGGTGAGCAGGTGAGTCGCATGTCTTCATGCTGAGATCTAGTAAATGTATTCTATTGATCTGTACTTATAATGATAAGTGAGATGAAAGTAGCTAATCTTAATCGGCAGAAGGCAACGTTTGTAAATGTGTCTGACAAGACAAATAGAGAGGGTGAATCTCGCTAGCAAGGATCATTCTAGGCCCACCACCCCCACCAATCCATCCAAAACTAAAAGAAAATTATGACTTTACATACACTTTTTAAAAACAAAAGGGTGGCAGGTATCTTTTTATAACAGAAGAGACTATGTAAGTCCACTGCATTCCAGGATTTGTTTCTATAAATTGTACACTGCTACACATGTACACTGCTACACATGTGCAGCTTAGTGTACAGTCTCAGCATGCCTTTGGTGCCGGGAAGTAGTGTACAGTCCCAGCATGCCTTTGGTATCGGGAAGTAGTGTACAGTCTCACCATGACTTTGGTATCGGGAAGTAGTGTACAGTCTCAGCATGCCTTTGGTATCGGGAAGTAGTGTACTGAAAAGTAGGATTTGCCTGACTGCTGAAGGGCAACACATGCAATATGTGTTTCAGATATTTTGATAAAGCACAATATCTTATTTCTTTAGGTGCTGAGTAAGAGGAGGAGAGGAATGGCTGGACTTCGTCAGCGAATGCAAGAAGTGAAGCAGAAATGGGAGAACCTTGAGAAGGCAGCAAAGGCTCACCAGTTAACGCTCCAGGAGGCTTCCAACTTCCACCAGTTTAACGCAGACACCATGGAGCTTGCTGGTTGGCTGCAGGACAGCTATCGCCTGGTGTCCAGTGATGACTTTGGGCATGACGAGTATTCCACCCAGTCTTTGGTCAAAAAGCATCGTGCAGCCACTGTGGAAATAGAGAAACACAGAGCTACAGTGCTCGGATTGAGAAAACTGTTATCTGAACTGGGTACTGAGTACCGAAACCAGGTGGATGTACAGATTAGCATTGTGGAGGTGGAGCAGCTCTTTGGAGAGGTGGTGGAAGTTGCCTCCTTGAGAAGTCAGTGGCTTCAGGATGCTTTAGCTGTTTATAAAATGTTTGGTGAGGTTAACGCCTGTGAAGTGTGGATTGATGAGAAAGAACAGTGGCTGTTAAAGATGGAGATCCCACAGAGACTGGAGGATGTTGAGGTGGTCCAGCACAGGTAAGAACTAGTCAAGAGAAAATGGAAATTGCTTTAAAGGCATGCTGATCAGGTGACTTCAGTATGCTGTGAGTCACTGACCCAGAACATGTATACAGATTATTCATTCTAATCTTAGACCGGCTTTCCTGATCTGCATGCTTGTTGCAGGCCATTTTTTCAAGGTATTAAATCTAGAGACCGTGAAGCAGCTAGAATTTTTAGCAGGTCGACAGCAGGCAGCTTCTGTTCTTTCTTTATTCTTTGTAGTACTACAACACGGCAGCAAGGCACAGCAGCAGGCTAATGGCTGCAAAAGCAATGTGCCAGCTCTGCTCTTTCTTGTAGACATAATCCGGGTAGCTGTAAAACCACCTGATCACTTCCGCAGGGCTGCAAGGTGTGTCCCCTTCCTCCTCTCATTTCCTGGGTTCATCTGGTTTTCTCAGAGAGTTTGCCAGTTCCCTTGTGATAGTAAAAAAAATTAAGTTCAAAGTGATAAGAAACATAAAATTATAATAAAATCAATAGTAAAAATAGTTTTAAGAACCTCTGCACATTTTAAAAATTCCCCTGCATGGTGGAGTAAGGGAAGTAATTCCAGGGCCTTCATTTACAATTAAATCTAAATTGATGAACTGTAAAGATGTAGCCTATTGACAATTTAGAGCCTTGCTCAACCAGGGTGCCGTGGCACACTAGTGTGCCTTCTGGCTTTGTCAGGCGTGCCTTCAAATTTTTGTTAAAGGGGGAGGACTCTGATGTCAAAAGGGCTGCTGATGTTAATGGAGAGCGTCTGATGTGAAAGGGGCTTCTGATGTAAATGGAGGGCTTCTGATGTGAGAGGAGCACTCTGATGTAAAGGGGGAAACTCAACTTCATCTTTTTTTTTTTTGCCTGGGGTCCCCCCTTAAAGGAGAACTATGAGGTGAGTGATTTCCACTCATCCTCATAGTTAGAGCCGACCTGTGACAAAGAAGCTGTCATAGGTCGGCTCTATTGATCGGGAAGTGAGCAGAAACATGTACCGATCCGCTCACTTCCCGATCGTCTCCCTGCAGTGACTGTCAATCACCACTCACCGCAGGGATTCCCCCCTCCCCTCTATGATCCTCCAGCACTGAGAGGAGGAATGGACAGGGGAGGGGGCGGGCACAACTGGCTCTGCCTTTAGATAGGCAGAGCCAGCTGTCACTCACGGCAGCTGGGTGGATCTCGACAGTATTGTTGGGATCCGACCTGGCTGCCACCCTCAGTATATCGCGACCAATAGCCCGCTATATACTGAGCTTTGGGTCACGGGAGGATGCTAGTATATGTCCTCCCCTGACCCTAAAGAGAACTATGGGGAAAAACACTTACCCGATAGTTCTCTTTTAAAGCCATTCTAGACCCCTGTCAAGGATAAAGGTATGGTATTGATTTGGGAAGGGGGACACCACATGCCGTTTTTTACACTGGGGTGCCCCGATATTTTGCATACTTGTAAAAGGTACCATGACTGAAAAAAAGGTTGAGAGCCACTGATTTAGGGTATTGTACTTTGACTCCATTTTGTGGATTGACATATTTGGTATTTACCGATAGTCTCCTCTTTTATACTTAACAAAAACTTTGGCGATTATATTTTATTTCTGTGAATTTAATGTATTTTATTGAAAATGTAGAATTGATAAATGTTTGTGCAAATATTTTGCTATGTCAACAAATTGCAACTGCCATCACTTTCTTCTACAGGTTCTCTACTTAATATATATTGTTTTGGACAATGACCTTTAAATGTATGTGTCAATCTAATTGAACAATGTCAATTTGCTTTTACCAAGGCTTTAGTATTAATGGGAGACATATCAAAATTCCCTAGTAGTCTTTTATATTAAGCACTCGTCTATTCAGTATCTTTTTATAATCTTCTGACCCTTCCAAATGCATTCAATTATATTTTGTAAGTTGCCTGTTACATCTCTTCTATTGTATTGTAAAGTATACAGGAATGGAAGTAAGCTTTTGTTGTCTTGTTGTAACCAAGATTCTTTCTTGTGGATTTTAGGTTTGAGAGCCTGGACCAGGAAATGAACAGTCTCATGGGTCGGGTATTGGATGTTAATCAGATTGTGCAGCAACTGCTGGAAGGGGGACATCCCAGTTCCTCTGAGGTGCAAGCTTGTCAGGATCACTTAAACAGCAGGTGAGCAATACTGCATTGGGAGGAGAGCGACTAAAGTACAATTTTCATTTCTTGGGATTTTTGCAAAGTACACGTCTGAAATGAAAGATACTTACTATGGGTAGGAGAGTACTTGTCTACATTGCTTCCAGGACATGATACAAACTATACGTAAATAGGGCTGCAGCTAACGATTATTTTCAAAATCAATTAGCAGTCTCCCTGAGATTGTGGGCCTGTCTGTTGGCAGCTGCCTTCCCCCCATGCCTGCTCTTCCTTCTTCATTGTGCCGATCGTGGATGGGCGGGCAGCGACAAGTCCGTGAGGCGGGGAGGAGAAGCGGCGAGTCCGTGAGGCGGGGAGAAGCGGCGTGCGGCATGTCCGTATGGCGTGGAGGAGAAGCGGCGTGCGGCGAGTCCGTATGGCGGGGAGGAGAAGCGGTGTGAGGCAGGGAGGAGACGTGTCGTGCTGCGGGCAGGAGAAGTAGCGTGCGGGGAGCCACAAGCAGGCCAACTAATCGAAAGTCAACTAATCGATGATGGGAAACGTTGACATTGTTTTCCATCATCGATTATAATCGACTTAGTCGATTAGTTGTTGCAGCTCTATACGCAAGTATAGTTATGTCAGTAGGAAACCTACAGTGATACCCTAATGCTTTAAAATAATAAACAATTGATTGCATGTTAAACAAAATAACCAGAAGTTGAAGCCCCTATACAGGCTAAGCCTAGGATTTCCCAGGTGAAGCAGGTGCTTGCATGCACTACAAGGTACCTGCTTTTAGGTAGCATTGTTGGGTATTTTAAAGACAAGGCAGATTTACTTTAATTCTTGTGGTGTGAAAAGCAGATGATACTGTGTTCCCTCTATTCCCCAGAATATACTTCATACCTGCTTGACAGGAATAAATGTTGGTTTTCTATAATACTGCTCCATTTTCAAGTCATTGTAGTTCTTATGATCCTGTAGGTCTCATTTTCTGCAGAAGAAAGACCAAACTTCTGTATACTGTATATGTGTTTATCAGGAATTTTCTTTTATTCAGATCTACTTGTTTGAACATTCAGAATAACTGTTGTATCTGAACAGGTGGAACCGGATTGTGGAATTAGTGGAGAAGAGAAAAGAACAGATCACTTCCGTTCTTCGCCTGCAGAATTATTTCTTCGAGTGCATCGAAGTGAAGTCTCAGATTCGTGAAAAGAGGAAATCTATGGAGACCTCCCAGTGTGGCAGTGGAGAGTTAGGTGGAGTTTTGACCCTGCAAAGAAAACTTTCAACTATGGAAGCAGCATTGGTGGCTTTGGAACCCAAGTTGGTCCAGCTGCAGCAAGATGCTGAAGTTCTCGCCACGTGCCACCCATCTCAGGCCATGGAGGTGTTGGTGCACTTTGAAGAGATAAGTGGGGAGTGGGAAGCTCTGAAGAGAACTCTCCAAGGATGTGAGGACTCTCTAACAGTGGCCAACAAGTTGCAGCAGTTTATCCAAGACCTAGACAACTTCCTGACCTGGTTGGTCAAGACACAAACCGCAGTGGCTGTAGAGGAGTTGCCTTCCAACCTGATTGAAGCTGAGAGGTTGCTGGGGCTTCATGCCTCCCTTAAAGAGGAGATCAATAGATATGAGGAGGACTACAACAATATTCAGGCTGTCAGTGACCTTTTGAGCCTAGAAGAGGCTGATCTCCCATATCTTTCTCTCCAGCAGTGGTTGCAGAAGTTGGAAGTTGGATGGAACAAGCTTCTCCAGATGTGGGAGAACAGAAGGGAGGTCCTTGTACAGTCTCACATCTTCCATCTGTTTTTAAAAGATGTCAAACAGGCTGAGGCCTGCTTGAACAACCAGGTGAGCCCACATTTTAAAAATTATATTAATTGAGGTTGTAGAAAGACAAGTTGCGCTAGACTAATAGTAAATGTGTAAAGTATCTGTGTAAACTATCATTTGACTGCCACATTTCTGGTATGTCTAACTCTGTGAATGCTGGAGCACTAGAAGGTGAAAAGAGAGAGGATTAAATAAACCTCCATCTTAAATAATTATATTTTCCAATCAAATGATAGACAGTTGGCAAATCCTTGCCATGTGAGTGCTGGATGAGGCATCCTGATTAATAAGCAGCTCATTTGTCTCCTATAATAGGCACCATGCATTGAAATTAAAATAGAACTATGGAGTCCCATAAAAAAGGCGCTGCTGCACTTAAAGTGACATTATAGTCAAAAATGTTTTCCTCTCCCCCCAATGTTAATGTAAGCACTTACCTTAAATGATGTTTCTTAATCCGATCTTCTTCTTTCCTGTCCTTTTCATCTGTCCCTCCAGCGCTGGTGCGGGTCTCCGATCCAGCGCTGACTCCTCTGGGCTTGCTGGCACTTCCTGTCCCACGTTGTCTGCATGCGGGTGCACGCGTCCATAGACTTACCTTGTGTCTCTCCTCGCGTCCCGGCCTAAAATGTGATCTGCGCATGCGCTCGCCCCAGGATGCTTTGCGGCCGCCCGAGATATTTCACATTTTCGGACGGGAGCGCGCGGGGTAGACACGGGTAAGTATTAACCCTTTTCAAAGCAGTATATATCTACTGCTTGCTAGCAGTAGATATATGCAAAAACACCCGAGGCTTTAATTATCCTTTAATGATAAGTGCGTCTTCACCTACAGTTTGCTCTTAGTCCTCCTGATGTGCGTGCCAGTGAAGTCCATCTAATGAAATTTCCTGGGATGGGGTGGCAACAATGCTGCACTGCTCCTGAATTCAGAGCACAGTTGCCACTTATACATAGGCTGTGCCTGTTTGCACCGCAGCGGAATTTAAAAATGTTGCAGGGTGCTGTGGCTTTCAGCATTGTCACTGCTCATTCACAAGCCTGTAGCTTGTCAATCAGCACCTGGCCTCACCTAGTCCTGCCCACTGCATTCTGGATTGGCAGCACTGTCTCTGTTACTGAAACCCACCCACTGTGAGCTACAGTGTCTGGGAGAGAGAGCTTGTGAGACACCAATTCATGAGAATTAGGCTCATTCTGGGGAGGTAGAGAACGTTTTTTTGTTTACGCTAAGAGGCTTTTTTCATCATATGGTAAGTGGATTCGTTACATGTTTAGACTGTCATACATGAACCTTTTGTTGTACTTTAAGAACAATAGTGACATCTGCTGAGCATTTGGATGTACTGCAGTGCATCCACAATACCAGTAACCATTTGTAAATCAGACAGGTTAAAATGATAAGACTGTAAAGGTGCCCATACACTGTACGATTATCGTACGAGAATCGCGGGAAATCCCGCGATCGTACGATAATCGCAAAGTGTATGGAAGGCGTGCGACCGTTTCTACTGTACGGTCGCACATCTTCCGTCGAACAAGCAGGCTTGAAAACCCTTCTCGGCGGGTTAGTGGCCTGCTTGTGCAACAACTGCCGAACGGGCCGGTGCCCGTTTGCAGTCATCATAAGCCCGCCCCTCATTGCATTCATCGCAAGCCCGCCCCTCGCTGGGGCGGGCTTGCGATGATCAGAAGTACGATCTGCCTGTCCAAGATGGGCAGATTGTACGAGCTTTTAATTAGCTTACAACCATCGCAAGACAAAAGTCTTGCGATAGTTGAAAGTTGTATGGGCACCTTTACACACTTTCAAAATCCCTATGTTCAATCAACACCATTCTGCTTCTCCCTGTGGTGTACACTAGTAGCTGTGAAACACAATGCTGTTTAAATGCAGCAGCAAACACATACAGTATTTAATTAATAGTATAATACTGTGTGTGTGTATTTGTATGTTTATGTGCATGTGAAGTCCAGTCAGGACATAAAACTCCAGTTCATATAGTAATGTTAGGTTATAATGACTTGAAATCCTGATCACGACACTATCTGCAAGGAGTTTGCATGTTCTCCCTGTGCTTGCGTGGGTTTCCTCCGTGTACTCTGGTTTTCTTCCACACTCCAAAGACATGCTGGAAGGTTAATAGGCTCCCCTCTAAATTGGTCATGTATGGATGTGAGATAGGGACCTTGGATTGTAAGCTCCTTGAGGGTAGGGACTGATGTAAATGTGCACATGTAAAGCGCTGTGTAAATTGTCGGCTATATAAATACCTGTAAGGAATAAATATATTTATTTTTATTTTCTTTCTTATTACAGGAGTCAGCGCTGGCTCATGTTGAGTTGCCCAACACTGTAGCAGGAGTGGAAAAAGCCATCAAGAAGCACAAGGATTTCCTGACCACCATGGAAGTGAACACACAGAAGGTTACGATAGCAGTGGTAGCTGGGGAGAGCTTGATACGACTTGGAAATGTGTTCGCTGACCGTGTTCAAGAAAGGATTTCCGCAATCCAGAAAAGGTGAGATGCAGGAACGTTAGCGGTCTTCCTGTGGGTGCCTGTATTTCCAGATTGGCCCAGTCATGACCTTGGATGTACATGCTGGACCCACCAATATATGTATATAGGAACACCATAAAAAGACATTAAGCATCCCCAACATTTGGCAGCCATAGATTCTCTATAACTGCAGATTTAATTGTTCTGCTAGACTTATCCTTAAAACCCAGCTGCAGCTATTTATTTAATTTTGCATAGAGTTGGGGAGGGTTACTTTTGACTGGAACTGGGATATGTGCTACTCAGATAAGTCATTTTATAATTGACATATTATTTATAGTTTATAAGTTACAGAACATTGCATAGTGCCAACCCATCACAGCCAGTCATATTCCGGACATAGTGGTTTGTTGCTCATTATTCTTGCCAGGCTGCGTCACTTACTGTTTGTGCTATATCATTAAAGCTTTGTGTTACTAGACTATATGCGGCTTGTTTCTAAAAACTGGATCAAAGAGAAGCAAAACTTTTTCCCATAAGAAATCATATTTCTTTATCAACTGCTTTTTAGCGGCTGACAAGGGAAATCCAGTCCATGACTATGTCCGTCATCCCACGCACGATCTGCCAAGGAAGGTTCCAGGAACCCCTGTTGCTTCTGTTAGTACTGTGACAGACACGCATGGTCCGAACCCGCTGTACATCAATCACACATGACTATACGCAGTTCTGAACCGAGTGAGCCACCACAAGGAAGTGGCTATACCACTCTCAGCCTCACTCTGCACAGAGATTTCCCAGGTCGCAGGACAACAATCTCAGGCCAGAAGACTGAGAGCATTAGTCACGAGGGTTGGGTAACTCTGCAGGTAGCCCTTTACACACCAAACTTGCTGCCACCACATGTGTTAACAGACACACGAACCGATCCCAGCAAGTGCTGTGACAATTCAAAAACGTAAACAATGCCTATGATACCGCTGTCCTCTCAGACAGGAATATGACCGTAGCGCTCTTCACAGAGGCAAGGATACTTTAAGTTCTTATTTAGAGTGCAGAGATAAACTTAATGATTATTAAGAGCATCTTTTGAAGTGATACAAAACTCAAACTTGTTTTCACTTTGCAGTTTTCTCCTTATATCCCTTAACATGATCCTGCTTTCATTCCTAATTTTAGATTCAAATCTTACCTTGTATTTCATTCAAAAAATGAATGGGCACATCCCCGCTGCTTCTCTGTGCTTCCTTCACTTCCGGCCACTCTTCTCCAACAGTTCACGAGCTTTCTGCAAGAGTGCGCAGCTCTCCCGCACTACATTTCCCACAATCCAATGCACGCACAGCTCCTACTGCACACTCCCACTGGGCCAAGCTTCAGTATCTTGCTAGTCGGCCCCGCTGGCTGTCAAAATACCTGAACAATCTGATTGGATGCAGGCATTTAACAGGTATTTGGAGAGCCAGCGGGGCCGACTAGCAAGATACTGAAGCTTGACCAGCGGGAGATTCCTCCATCCACACAGTGTAGCGTAGATGGAGCAATCTGTTGCACTTTTTCCATCTGACCATAGAAAGTCTGCAGATGATCTATAGGTGTATGGCCAGCTTTATGCTAATAGATTTCACCTGTAAATAAAGCACAATATGCTGAGACTACGTGCACCTGTGTGTGTGTTCTACATTAGCCACCGATCCAAAGCTCGTTCCATTGTTGGCCTATAATTTCAATACAAATGAGTAAACTAAACATGAGATTGTAGTCCCATCTCGGGAGTAAGCTTGGAGCTGTGACTACTTTACAACACACACAGGGACCATGGGGAGCAAAATTAGCCCCCCTCCAGAAGGAAGGACAGTGTCAGCTCCAATTCAGAGATGATTTGAGGATCTACAGCCGAATGATACACAAATAAGATACATTTTTGTTAATAGTTAAAGTACTCAAATGTATTTTTATGGTTTAACTCCTGAGTTTAGTGTTAGGATATTCATTCAAATGATAGTAGGGTTGCACAGATACCAAGTACAGTACTCGGTACAAGTACCGATACTTTTGAGCTCCAAGACTAGACTAGAGTATAGCAAACATTTATTTTAACAATTTAATTGGAATTGATAAATCGATAATAGCCTATCCTGGAGAAGTTCTGCTCCAGTGCCATTTACATAGCCAAAAGCCAAGGCATTTGCTATTGTGATCTTCTGTAGGAATAAATAGGCATTCATAGTTACATAGTATTTGAGATTGAATAAACACACAGGTCCATCAAGTTCAACCTTTGTGTTTCTGTGTGTGATTGTGCATGTGAATGTGTGTACAAGAGTCCCTGTGTGGTCTAGTTTTTAATAGTACCTGTACCCATGTATGTTATGGTCTCTGAGGAAGGTCCTAAATGCTCCTTGAATGATCCAATACTCTCTGCTGATACCACTGCTTGTGGCAGAGAGTTCCAAAATGTAACCGCTCTGACTGAGAAGAAGCCCCTACGCCCTTTGTGGTTAAATCTTTTCTCCACCAATTTTCGGTGGTGTCCTCTAGTCCTAGTTAGGGAGTTTACTGTAAAAAGTTTATCGCTGATGTTGCCATCACCACTAAACATTTTGTACATCAAAATCATGTCCCCTCTTAATCACCTCACTTCCAGTGTGAACAAGTTTAAATGTAGCAACCTTGTCTCATATCTTTGGTCCTCCAGCCCCTTAATTAGTTTTGTTGCCCTTCTCTGGACTCTCTCCAGCTAAAGGACATGCTTTCTGAGGATTGGTGACCAAAACTGAACTGCACATTCAAGATAAGGCCGAACCAGCGATCTATAAAGTGGCAAAATTATTGCTTTATCAGATTGGCTAATCCTCCACTTCAGTAGAGATCATCTGCCAAACGGCCTAAGCTGGGGGTAGCCAAACTTCGTCCCCCTGCAGCTGTGGTGCAACTACAAATCTCATGTATCTGCCTCTGGGAGTCATGGCTGTGGCTGTCAGTCTTGTAATGCCTTATGGGACTTGTAGTTGCACCACAACTGTAGGGTTGAATTTTGGCTAACCCTTGCCTAGGCTTTTAGTTATGTGACCAGCACTGGAAGGCGCCTGAAGCAGCATTTGGAGCAGTATAGGTCCACTTCAGTAAGAGGTTAGCATATTAGCAGCCTTTCATGTAACATATTACCGTTTTTAATAACATTGCCAACATTGTACACTCCTTCTCAATTTCCTTCATTTTACATATCGGTGGTGTTAGATGGGTACAGTATGCCTCTGAAGGAGTTGCTGTGACAGCGATTAGGCTATATGTATTATTTCATCTATATATTTATAACTCTGATAATAAAACATTTAAGTTCCTCTTGGATTTATACAGTGAAAGAACATCCTGTAATTGTACCTCTGCATGATTCTAAGTCAATATCCTATAGGAGTTCTAAGATTTTTCAGGTCTCCCCTGTATGTTACAGGCAAAACCCTCATTTTACGATATTATTCCCTGCTGCAGTTTTCTTAAGTCAGCCCATTTTCTCAATGACGCTAAACCTCTGTTCTGGAAACATCGTATGAGGATTTGTCTTTGTGATACAGACTGTTCTTTCACTTTATATCCTTTACCGCCACGACTAAGCTACACTGACAGTGGCCATCTATCACTGCAGGCAAGCTTGCTGATTCTCTCCTCTTCCTCTGTTAAATACTGAAGTCAGTGCTTTTAGAGGAGGATGACAGGACTGAAAGAGGATAAATGAAAAGAGAAATGAAAAAAAGAGACAAGTATTTGTAGAACAAATTGTGTTGTATCACTGTAAGCCCTGTCCAAAGCTAACGGTATGTTAAAGAAGAACTCTAGGAATGAACCAAATAAAGCCTTTCAGTGGGGTGCCAACCACACTGCAAGGGTTAGGTGCTCATTTTGGTCTAAGGGTCGTAATACAGAAGATATACTCACCGGATCCTCGGTCCTGTGGCAGTCAGCGCTCACCTCTCTCTCCCTCCGCTCTGACTGTGGTATGGCCCTCAGCGTCCTCATGTCTAATGCAAGTGATTGGACCTGCATGAGACGTGATGATGTCATTGGGGCTTAGACTGCTGGAGCACTGGGGAGAAGAGGCTACAGGGACCAGTGTAGCAGCCAAGCAGGACCAAGGATCAGGTGGGTGTATCTTCTTTTAATTTAGCCCCTAGAACAAAACAAATAGTTAACCCTTGCATTGGGTCTAGGGTTAATTTGATTGGTTCCTGGAGTTCTTCTTTTAAGTATAGCTTCTCTTATATGTTTATCTCATTGCTTGTCTGCTTGGACAGAGGCTGTCAGAGGCTTTTCTGACACGCAGTATAATGTCCAATGACCCTCACAGATTCTGATGTACGAAGGCATTAACCTGTACTTTCACTATAGACAGCCAGCCCCAATACACACATATGAGTTCATGACACTGTTTAAATGTCCTACTTCTCCTAAGGACCTTTTCACACCATGTCCATTGAAGTGGGTTTTCCTGCATGCAACCACACATGTGAAGTTGTTTTCTATGCACCCTGTTCAAACCATACATGTGCATTGGCGTGCATTAAAATGCAGTCCAATGGACATGGTGTGAACAAAGTCAATGGCTGTTGCAGCTGAGCTACTTTGCTATGTACTTGCTAATGAAATGTAAAAATGCACAACAGAGTTTATAAATGCTTGTTGACTTGCTATTCATAAACGTTTGCATGGATTAGCTATAAAAAAGTTTCATGGTTGTAAACTTTTGTTCAGAATAGGGATGCACTGATACCTAGTACAGTACTTGGTACAAGTAGAAGTACAGATACTTTTCCAGCTCCAAGACTAGACTAGAGAAAAATTCAGAAGTTAGGAGGCAGCTGTCATTTGTAAGGAGCACACGGAGCTCCTGGGATTTGTACATCTCTGTTTTGAAGTATGATTTTGTTTTCATAAACATATATAAAGGGATGCACCGATTCCAGTTTTGCAAGTACAAGTACTGATACATTTTTGTTGACGAGATGACGAGGGAGCATGAAGCCAGCTTCCCGGCCAATCAGAATGCCGGCCGCTGCGTCATTACACGGCGCCCGGCTTCCTGATTGGCCGGGAAGTCGGCTCCATGCTCTCTCATCACAAGTGACGAGAGAGCATAGAGACGCTTCCCGGCCAATCAGGAAACCGGGCAGCGTGTAATGACTCGTGCTAGGCGTCTGTCCATTTGGGCGAGTACTCGCCCAAATACTCGGTATCGGCACAGATATTGATACTAGTATCGGTGCATCCCTAATATCGACTAATGATTTCAGGACAGTGGTGGAGCGCCAGAGCCAGGTCCCAGCTGCAACCACTGCAACCCTGGTAGTTCTCATGAAAGTATCGGCACTGGTATCTGAACTGGTATCGGTGCATCCCTAGTTCAGAAAAGCACAAAATGCAGCGAATTTAAAACATAAAATAAGTAGATGTGAAAGATTCCCAAAGGGGCTCTGATGCAGAGGTCAATCCAACTATTGCATGGTATTAGGTTGTGTTATGTCAGTGGGCCTTTGGCTTCTGGAGTAGGCTATACATTGCTTCATGGTGGAAAATGTTTCTCTAAATGTTACCTGCAAAGTATATAAAAGAAATATAAAAAAGTGATGGCCGAAGAAGACCAAGTGGTCCATCGAGAATTGTTTTGGGTGTTTTTTTTTAACCTTTTTGCCTGAGTATAGATCTATGTCCCAATCATGTTTAAATTCACTTACTGTTGACTGAATCACTACCTCTGCTGGACGTCTGTTTCAAGCATCAACTACTCTTTCAGTAAAATAAAACTTTTCTATGATTCTGAACTTTCCTGCTGCTAGTTATTGGAATGCCCCCATGTTCTTGATCTTAACTTCATATTATAAATACTGCCCTCATTCTCGCCACACATTTTCACACCTACTAAAATGACAATCGCCAAAGGTTAAAAGACTCTTTCACTGGATTTTGAAGATGTTAAAAATCGTGTTAATGATCTAAGGTCAATGAGAAACTAATGGCCATTTTATATGACACACGCAATCAATTTTTAAAAGTTTGGCAACCTTGGATAAATTATTCTAAAACTGCAGTTTGCCAAACCTCTGTCCTAGCCATTTTAATTCTGGGTGTTCCTTGGGCTCTAAAACAAAATGTTCTTTCTCTCTTTTTTTCTCGCTCTTTCTCTCCCCCCCCCCCTTATTTTGTCATCTTCCCTTGCACCCCCCTTTTTTTTCTTCGCTTGTCCTGCACCACATACTGCAATCTTTCCTCATATGTTTTATCCATCAGACCTAGCTTTATTTTTGTTTCTACGTCTCTGAACTCGCTCTATCAATATCAGTAGTGAGGTCTATAGAACTGGACATCGTATTCTAAATGAAGTCTGACTAAAGATCTATATCGGGAAATGAGAACCTCCTTCCTCCTGCTATGGATCCATCTAGTTGTACACAATATCTCTTTTCAACTCTGAAATCAAGGTGTGCTCTAAACCCATCAGTTGCTTCAATTTTCAGCTTGTTTGAACTCTGAGAACCCAACTAAAGCAAGAAAGACTTTCTGCTTTTAACCCCTAGACGACCCATGACAGGATAATCTCGTCATGAAGTCTGAAGGGGTTAAACATACTCCTGGCAGAGACTGTTCCATTTTGTAGAGCCGGCGGCTAGCTTTACAGTAGAAGTGCTTCTGGTGACTCAGCTGCCGCCAGATCGCTTCTACAATCCAGTAATAGGGCCCCGCCGTGTTTCCCGGGCTCCGCTGCCCCTCCTACGGGCCCGGGACCGGCGTTTCGGGTGTCAGGTGGAAGCTGGCGAGGAGATCAGTGAACTTCCCCGTACTGTGGGACCGGAAGCGATGCAGATTACATCACTTCCAGACCCAAAGCTGTCAGTGCTGGGCTCCTGAAGCGTGTAAAGGTGTAAAGGTGACACTAGCATCACCTTAAAAGAGTACCTGTCACCATCAATATGCTATCACGTGGGGAGCTTATAAGCCTCCCTATGTGATAGCAATTAAAGTAAAGTAAAAAAACAAAAACAGTTTAAAAAATATTAAATAAATGAAATGTAAAAAAAATTTTAAGTCCCCGGCGAGAACGCGCGTCATCACGGAAACACGCGTCGGGTGCGCCTACGCACGAAAACGACGATCATGCTACACATGTTGGGTATCGCCCTAGGGCCAAAATTTACACGTATCTTTAAACTGATAACTTGTGGGGGCTTTTAAAGCGTCGTCTATGGACTTTTTGCGGTACTGAATTCTGTTGCAGTTTCACGGACGCACACAATTTTTAACCTGATCATGTTGGGTATCTATTTACTCTTCGTAACCTCCTCTTTTATATTTTATAAAAACAATGGTTTTATATAGTGTTTTGGAGCATTACATTTAACTTAAGTGTATTTTTCACAAAAGTTTTGGGTTTGATAATAAGTTGCGCTAATATCGTGCAACATAAATATTTGAAACTCCTGCCATTTTATTCTATAGGGTCTTGGCTTTCCGAAAATATGGATTATAACATGTAAACAAAAAATGGAAAAGAGGCCTTTGTCCTCAAGGGGTTAAGAGTCAGTGGCTGTTAAAATGTGTGTACATTTTGCATCTTTATCCTTGAATTTTTGTCCCCAGGAGTCAACGTAACATGGCGCTTGCACAGAAATGGCTACAGAAACTGAAAGACCATTTGCATCTTCAACACTTTCTGCAAGACTGCAATGAGGTAAGACTATATTTTATTCTTGTGACCGTTATGAGAAGTGCCTGCTGAAAAGTGTTTATGTGCTGGGATGTAATTTGCTAGTGCAGTGATGGACAAAATAAAGGTGAATTTGGAGTCAGTCCATCAAATGTAATAGCCATCAGAATGTTTAAAAGAGCCAAAGAAGATATACATCTATTGTCTTTAATAAAACAGGCTGCTTGAGCGTAGGCACCAATAGAAATGTTTTCTTTGTAATAACGTGCATTGCCTTTTATTCAAAGCAGTGGATACAATATATCCTGCTGTATGGTATTGTAAATTTTCTGTAAGCAGGGGTCCAAGTACACAGCACTATAAATAGTAGATGTACAGTGCGTTCCCATGATTAAAAGCGCGAGGCATTATATTCTAAAAGCAGAATGTTAATGCACGTGTGAGTAATCTTATACAATTGTGAAGTTTTGTATTACAGGTAAGTTATACGAAGCACTAAGACATTAAAGGAAACCTGTGCAGAGAGAAATATGCGGTCTCTCCTGAACACTAGTTACTTGGCTGTTATGCTAATCCAATGGCTTTAGTACTTTCTTTTACAGGCTCAGAACAAATACAAAGGTCAGGAGTTCTGAATTCACTAGTGGTACATTTGTATGATTTAGAAAGCACTATAGCCAGAACATCAGCATTACTGCCAGGCATTGCTGAAAGGAGATGATATTTTTCTTGTTTCGGGCTTCCTTTAACATTACCACCTCTACCCACAGTTTCCTATTGTTCCCACAGTTACAGTGAAAGTATTACCTCTGGGTGTTTTATCTCTTATTTAAAGTGAATCTGTTATTTTACCACGTAGGCCACTGCAACAGCTTCACTTAAATTGGAACCAAAGTCTGCCATGGCAGGTGGGCTCTTGCCATAATGTGCAAGTATGCACAGAATACATTATGGCACACTTACCTGCAAGAGTGCCCACATCCAGTGCTGTCCAGTTTGGGTTGTCAGTCGCTGATCTACTCTGCCTCTTCCTGTTCCCTATTTGCTAATTTTTGGCCATTGGACAGTCACTGATGATGTAACACCTGCATATGTGTACAGGAGTTACATTGTCCCAGGCTCCATTCTCAGATTCTTATACCATACAGTGTATTCAGAGAAAAAAATGCTAGAGGAAAGAGAAATAAGTTTTTTGGCAGAAGAGACATACAAAACCTCCTAGCAGCTTTTTATTTTCCAGAGTTTATTTCCACTCTAATTGCCTACTCCTCTTCCCTTCAATCATCACTGCAACAGGTTAACTTAATGGCCTGTCTGCCAGCAGCCTATTCTCACCTCCCTTTACTCCTCCACTGCTCTGTTGTGCCTGTAGGATCCATGACAAATGCACGGTACACTGAGCTTACACAGGGATTTTTATCTTTGCTCTAGCAGGCAATTGAAGCAATGGGGAGGGAAGGTTTGTATAAGCAGTGGGAGCCAGCAAGCAATGTAGTGAATCTTCAAAGCACAGGCTTACTCTTGACATAAGGTAAATTGGTAGCTAAAACATTGGTAGTAATTGTAATCTACCTAGGGAATCTCGGGGTAGAGTAGCTGAACTGTAAACCAAGACAATGGATTACTCTGCATCAATGGGTAGTCCAACAAGTTTATATATGTTGGTGTAACAGTCAAGTGTCCACAAATATTTGGCCATATATTGAAATGCCCTCTAAAGGTTTCCATGTCATGAAATGTCATTTCTTTATCTTTCATTAAGGAACACAGAATCAGTAGAATTCTGAGACAGTTGGATTATACTGCTGCCTGCAGGAGGAATTGGACACTGGCAAACAAAATAGCCATTTTGCCAGCCGAGTATAACCCCTCCCACTCCTATGATGTTTCCATTTTTTGCTAGTGTTGTAGGTGGATGGACATCTTTTTTTCCTTGGAGAAAAGTTAAACCATTTTTTTCTAGACATTTTTCACTTTTATCAAGAATATTTTTTTCTTCAGTCAAAAGCCTTCATTTCGCTGCGAGCAAAGCTCATAATGCAGCTATCTAGCTAGTCCTTAGTGTCGCCTTGGAGGCCATAACCAGACCCTCCATGATGAAGTGGAGCCTGTCTGTAATGTGACATTCAGGCACTGGGCTCTGCTAGTGGTGGTGTCCAGACACCTAGCAAACAGGTTTGTTGGCCACATAGCACTTTCCAGGTTCAGGGCCGTGACACAGCCTCTGGTGGGAATCCAGAGAAACGCCCAAGTTTACTCTACTCTTTTGCATGAGAGTTCTGGATTTGATAGCAGCCTCATTGGAGGCAGTCCAATTTACCCAGTTCCACACCAGACTGTTGCAACTCAACATTTTGGCTGTATGGGACAAGCTGGTGCAATCTCTGGACAATCACATGCACTTGAAACCCAAGGCCAGTCTATCTCTGGCCTGGTGGCTCAGCAGTCCAGCTCTAGAATCACCGAAATCTTACCGTCCAATAACTTGGAAAGTTCTGACGACAGATGCCACCCTGACCAGATTCTGGCACGGGCAGTTCTTCACGTTCCAAGCTTGTCCGCTGTTCACATACCAGGTGTGGACAATTGGCTGACAGATTTCTCAGCCGACAATGCCTGGCCCCAGGGGAATAGTCTCTTTGCCCAGATGTATTTGAAAGCCGTTGTTGCAGTGGCAGGTCACCAAATATGGACCTCCTAGCTTTCAGAATCCACCACAATTGCATATAACCATTTACCCTGGGACCTTAGTATGGTACACCACACCCTTGAGCAACAATAGGGCTTTTAAGGTGTAAACCTGAATTCATTAATAAAACAAATATTTATTTATACAGCTTAAAAATGCATCTCAATATATACAATCAATAAAACTATTAAAGCAATATCCAAAAATAGGCCTCTTTGTGAACATCTGAAGAGAGATGCCCAACTATCACTGTCCAGTCAGTTATATGAGCAGTATTAATGTATTAAAGATGCATTTTTAAGATGTATAAATACATATTTGTTTTATGTATGAATTCACATGTACACCTTGAAAGCCCTACTGTACTGTTGTGGGAATTTGAGATTAAACCACAAACCACACATGTGTCTCCAGGTACAAGGATCCGCTGGCTTTGGCAGTGAATGCTCTTGTGGCTTTATGGGATTGGTTCAACCTGATTTCCACCTATCGTCTTCTGAAGCTCCTTCCATATCTGCTCCACAGAATGGAGATGAAAGACATACCGGTACCAGTGATTGGCCCTGATAAACCTGGTACTCAGACCTCATCAGACTGCTGGCAGACACTCCATAGGCTCTACCAGATCTTCTGTCCTAAGGACTGGTTTACCACCCCGCTTCATGATTGCTGGCCTAGACGGCATGGCTGTTGAAGCCCAGGTCCTAAGAGATGAGGCTCTGTGTAATTCAGTTATTCCAACACTTCTTAAAGCTAGAAAATCAACATCCTGCAAGGTCAACTTTTGCAATTGAAAGGCATACTTCGCTTGGTCAAGAAAATTTCATCCCAGGACATACTCTACTGAATGCATCCTTACCTTTCTCCAATCTGGTCCGGATCAACATATAGCCCTTAGTACCATCAAGAGACAGATCGCAGCTCTGGTGATTCTCTTTAAAAGACCGCTTGCCTCTCATTTCATAGTTAAGGCATTTGTACAACCTCCTGTGACGTGACTTTGTGGGCTCTAAACCTAGTCCTATTGGCTCTTCGACAAATGCCCTTCAAATCGACTAGAGATATCCTTCTGCCAATTCTCACTCAAAAGGTGGCCATCCTCATTACCATAACCTCTGCAAGGCAAGTGTCATAGTTGGCAGCCTTGTCTTATAAAACATATTTTCTTGTTTTACACAAACACAAGGTTGTCCCAAGACATAGAGCATAGTGTCTTCCTTTTACCTCTACAAGACATTGTGCTTACATCCCTCTGTCCTACTTCAGTACATGCCAAAGAGTTTTCTCTCTATTGCTTGGATCATTGTACAAGCATATAGGCTTAATGATAAGGTTCTTGGCACTCTTTGAGCTGCAGACACAAGGCACTCTTTGAGCTGCAGACAGCCCCCAGTTTGTACACTGTTGTTTTGTGGGCTTATTAGCGTTTTTGTCTGCTGTCTTTCCCACCCCTCAGTTGGACTGCTTTTGGACGTCGCAGTTGCCTCTAAATTCTACCAATCCTCTGTCGCTTAATGAACAATAAAGAAAACTGTATTTCTCTATTATCCATTGAGGAACAAAGGTCTGAAGATTTCTGAGACATAGGGTTATGCTGCTGCCTCCAGGAGAATTGGACACTGGGTAAAAAATTAAAGGCTTGCCACTTTAAGGACATAACCCCTCCCACCTCACACTTTCCAGTTTCGCTTAGTCTCCTCAGGAAAATGGATGTGTCCTTCTCTTCTGATTCATTATTTTTTAATTACAAAATGGTTTATTGAAAAAGAAAAGAACAAAAGGACTTTTCTATGGCCTTGTCTTGTTATACCTCTTTACTCTATACCATTTGTTGAGTGGTTCTTTTGTGTCTTTCGAGATTTATACAGTTTTTTATGACACTTGTTATGCTTTTTCTAAAAAATATTGAAATAAGAAATAGAAACGAACAAAACAGTGTACAGGTCCAGTTTCATCAAGCACATATAAATGGACAAACAATGAATACAATAAAGAGGGAGTATTACAGAGTATCACGTCCAGAATTAGGTACAGTCGACCTTTGTGTTATGCAACATTAGTTAAACTATGCAAAATATGACAGCATCGTTTTTAAATAAAGTGTTACCAGAAAAAAAAGTGTGTCACCATCCCTTACCGTCACCCTTATAACAAAGTATCTGTTGAAGCACATGTGGAGGATCTTGCAGTCCATCTATCCCATATTTTGTGGATCTTATTTTCACAGGCACGGTGTTTAGAAATCAAACATTTAAAGGGGAGAGAAGTGTTTAGCTCCCGCTTTCATTGAGCTATAGTGGGAGGCATTGCACTGGATCCATAATCTGGCAATCCG